AAGAGTCTGCTTGAAAAGGCAAACTACTTCCTGGTGTTGCCTCTAGAAAACCAACTGAGGAAGGTCCTCAAACGCCTTCACTCAAAGCTGGGGAAGCATTTTACGAAGGACGATTACGTTTCTGACGTCAACACCGGCGGTGAATATAAGCACAAAGAGCAGGAGGGCAGTATTACACTTACCTTCACATGTGACAGCTCTCCTCTCCTCAATTCATCCAAGTTTTCAGTCTGGCCCATCCTGTGCACCATCAACGAACTTCCGTATGTGGAGCGGTGTAAGAATGTCCTGCTGCACACGTTGTGGTTCGGCAAAGGAAAGCCGCTGCTTCAGTGTTTCTTTACGCCGTTCATTAACGAGCTTCATAAACTCTCTCACGAGGGCTTCACTTGGGAAGACGAGAGCGGGTTAGAGCTTAACACCAGCGTGTTGGCGAAAATCTGCGTGTGCGATTCAGTGGTGAGGTCAGCGGTGCAGAACTTTCAGCCGTTCAGTTCGGAGTTTGGCTGCGGGTTCTGCTACCACAAGGGAGAGCTGGTTCAGAAGGGCCGGGGTTACACCAGAGTCTATCCGGTTCAGGTGGACGGATGTGACCTGCGGCACATGGCTGAGACGGAGCAGCTGGCCATCGTAGTGATCGAGAATGGGTATCCACAAGGTCAAATGGGTGTCAAAGGTCACAGTCCGCTGCTTCTGCTGCCTTCGTTTGACGTCGTCAAGGGTTTTATCCCAGATTACATGCACTGTGTTTGTCTTGGGGTTGTTCCTGAGTTTGTCAATCTTTGGTTGGATCCTCTTTATGGCAGAAAGCGCTTCCACCTTTCACCTCAGAGTTTGAAGAACCTGGACAAAGCTTTGTCTGCCATCCAACCCCCAGATGAGATCAGACAAAGACCTCGGCGCCTCAGTGAGAGGATGCATTGGGAAGCATCCGAGTGGCGAGCGTTTGCTCTTCTCTACTCTCCTGTAATACTGAGGAAGGTTTTACCAAACCTGTACTACAAACACTGGATGCTTCTCATTTCATCGCTTCACATCCTCCTCTCCCAGTTTGCCACCCAGGAGGAGATCAGCTGTGCAGAGCTGTGCCTGGTTAAGTTCGTCTCCCAGGTGCCGTCTCTGTACGGACTTGAGCATTGCTCATTTAACTGCCACTTGCTGATGCATCTCACGGACTGTGCCCGTAACTGGGGACTACTGTGGGCCAACTCCGCCTTCGTCTTTCAGGGTGTACACAGCCGACTCCTGCAGATGTACGCCAGGGCTCAGTCTGCGCCATCCAACATCTTCAAACAGATAGTTTCCTATGATGAGATTATCATGAAAGGAAGCGATGTTCTGAAAGATGCTGGTACAGAAATCACAGACCTGTTTTCTTCCATGACAAGCTGTGGTATCCTTACCAAGTCATCCAGCTGCATCAGTGAAGACGTGTTTACTTTGGGATGCGGCTCTCAGAGATCTCTAACTGTGAGAGAACTTGCTGCATTGCAGAGCAAAGATACACGACCCGTTACTGAATACGCACGTTTTGTCTACAGAGACATGATGGTCACCACTTTGGACTACAGCGTCTCTTGCAAAAGGAACAACTCAGTCATAGAAACGACCAGCGGCTTTGTTCTTGTAGAGTCCGTGGTGGTTGACGAGAGGCATTGCAGCTGCGAGAGATCGTCCGACTGCTCCTGCAGAGAACTGGTTGCTTTCTGCAGAAAACTGCTTCCCTCAAACTCCCAACCAACAATCCAGAATGAGCAGATCAACAGAAACATTGCAGAGTTCCTCGTAAGAGTGAGGAGTTCAGATGAACTGTGTGCAGTGACATGTCAGGACATTGTTTCGAAATGTTTTGTGATGGAGCAGAAGGGTCGGCTATATGTCATCAGAATGCCAGTGCTTGGGACACGATAAGTCACATGTTGAAATATCATTAAGCGTATTTTGTAATGTGTGTTTGTGGACTGTTGCATGACATAAACAAGTGTTGGTGTTGTGTCTTAAATGGAGCACTAGCTACTTATTGAAGCACACTTATTTTACACCAGGATCTTAACATTGATCCTGCAGTGATTTTTACATAGGTCTATAAAAATGTTTTATTATATGCAAAATGCTGGTTTTTTTATTCTGGTTTGACGATGTTGTTATTTCTGTTGTTTATAATCAGAAGACATTCCTGTACCATATGAATGTTTTTGCTTTTTGTGCCTGGAGTTTTGTATTTGACATTCACATTTTTGTTATGTGCATAAAAAACTATTTAGGTGTTGAGAGACATTCTCATATATTGACAGTACTTTGAATATTTATGTCAAACATGGACTAAAATACCTGCATACATGCATATGCGCCTGCTATCATTGTGGTTTTGGGGTCTTTGTTTTGTACACCCAGTTGTCTCCAAGTTGTCATCAGCTAGCTGTTGATTTGAGGTAAAATTAAATGATCTGGACATTGTTTTATTTTACTTTTTGCAATAGACCTGTACAATTCACAGCAGAACAGCCTGATAAAACCAGACAGTTTGTTCGGTGTTCTTAGATTTAAAAGTTTTACCTTAACTTCTCCAAACCTCCTTCTTGTCATTTTTCTAAAGATACTGGCTTGTTCATGTAGCAGCTACAACTATCAGAAAATGATAACATTGACTTGGTCAGTACCTTTCAGTCCATGAAGATAAAAAAATGGTTTCTCAGAGAACAGTGACACTGGTATTCTCACAGTTCCCAGTTAGGCCAGACTTGAGTCATAGTGGCAAAGCGGTGATGTATTTTCAAAGGTTCAAGAAACCATTTTGAATGGATTTGGACAAGGGGAGTGATCTTAAGCAACAGAAGATATGGTGTATGCACAACCTTTTGAAATGATTTTAGAACCTGTTTAATAAAAGCTCCAAAAGATTTCCCAATCTCCCATCTTGCCTCCTGCTGGTGTCAGTGCCAGCAAAGCGACACGAAACCACAGTTACGCTTCACAAAAGATTCCCAAGGCCTTTGACTTACTCATTCAGATAGGAGCCAATTTTAGCTTGTGTTTGTGCTTGTGGGTCAGCAGAGGTCTTATACTTGTCAAAGGTGTTTGACCACCTGTGTCTTCAGGAATCCGGTGGCCGCCGGTGATAATTTCCTCTTTCTGCTACTTCTACTCCCAGTATGCATCCAACTGTATCTCTAGGAAGTTTTAGGGTCTTTCCAATATTTTGTATGCTTTTCTTTTTACAAAATTCTTCTCTCAACTATTTGGACTATATTAGCAACATGCCATAAAAAGTTATGATTAACACATTCTATCTCAAGTGCACCTAATGCATCTGACAAAGCTCTTGACAGGTTACACCAAATGTGCCTGAGACCGTATTAGATTTGCTTCTCCAGTTACTTTGTGTGTGGATTAATGAAAGACTTTGAGATGACGTAGGAGCTGGCAGCTCTACGGCCAATGAAGGACACTAGAACAGGGAGTGGTTTGTTCAGAGGTAAATGTACCTGTAGAGGTAAACTGGTACCTCTACAGATACATTTACTGCTAAACTGGTGAATTTACCTCTGGTAAAAGCACCAGAGGTATAAACTGGGAGGTATTACCACTTATTTTTGTACAAATTTGACCAGGGAAATGTTGAAATTAACCAAGAACACATATTTTTGCATAGTATGTCGCGGTGGTAGGAGTTTGTCCTGTAATCAGTGATCTAATCCGTCTGCCTCCGATGTGTCATCAATAGTTAGGAGGCTGTAAACAATGGATGGATAATTATTCTGTAAATTGTTTATTGAAAACACCCAAACCATTTAGACATGTAAACTTAAGTGAAGCTGTTTCACCAGATGGCTTTAACATACCCTGTCACCTTTATTAAAGAATAGGGCAAAAATTGGATTTAAAACAAGAATATATTTACAGTTCTTCACTGAAAACATTGTAAACATCATTAAAGTTAATATAAAGTACACAAATGTTTCACAATACACTAAAACTGCAACACAATTTTGATATTTAAGAAGCATACAACCACACAACATTTTCCTGTAGCAAGATCAAATCTGAAATAGCTTAACACTGTCAGTTAGTGTTTTTTGTTTTTTTAACATATAAAACCGCAAACAGAAGAACAAGATGATCCCAGATCAAAACAACCACAACGAAATTCACACATAATTCATTTTAACAGGAACATTAGTTATAAAAAGGGCAGCCATCAAATGTTCATAAAAATAATTAAAAAAAGATCACAAATGTAATGAACAAGGTAACGTGGAGTTAAAAGCAGCATCTGATTGATAAAGTACAATAAAAACAAAGATTGAAGTATGTAAACAAAACACTGGAATATGGTGTGATATATTTTACTATCTTTTTACAAGTTCCTTAAGAAAAGGAAAACTGAAACATATACCATACTTACATAGGTACATACATATGATACAGTGATCATTTAACACTTGTGTGAGAGTGAGCGACGGGTGCCTGTCTCTCTTTGAAAGCAGCAAGGTGATCAGTAATCGTCCTATTGATGAGACGCTCCTGGCCTGGTGTAAGTCAAAGGACCGTCTTTATTCTTTGAGAAATCTCTCAGCTTCAGCTGCCGACATGAGAAGTTAGTGAGGATGTTGAAAATCTCAGAGATTGTTTCTCTGTAGAACTGGATCCAAAGCAGCACCTCTTGAATTCATGTCCTAACTCAGTGTTTCTCAACCCTGGTCCTCAGGCCCCCCTGTCCTGCATGTTTTAGGTGTTTCCCTTCTGCCACACCTGCATTGTATCTCTGGGTGATTAACAGGCTTCTGCAGCACTTGATGGTCATGTAATCATTTGAATCAGCTGCTCTGGAATAGAGGCACATCTAAAATATGCAGAGCAGGGGGACGGTGAGGACCAGGGTTGAGAAACACTGGTCTAAGTGTTTCTGTCCAAACAAGACTGCTAGTGGTCAGACAAGAAGAAGCTTCTTTGGCATTAAGCAGAATTGTGGTATAGATCTCGTCAAAAAGCCTGTTTTGTCCTACTGCTGTTGTGATGAGAACCTGAGGGCAGACAACACAAAAATACCGTTACTTCATGCATTTATTTTAGAATGGCAGTACTGACAAAAATAAACCGAACTTGATCTTACCTTATTGACGCCAGATGGCTTGAAAAGCTCTGGAGGGTACGTTTGATCAAGACTACATCAGTGTCTTTCTATACCTCCAGGCACGGGATGCCGATGGGAGCTGGGATTTTATGAAACAGCCAGAGAAAAAACTGGAAGGCATCATCCTCACAAAGCCAGACGTGTCATTTTAGTTCTCTTTAAGTCCATCCAAAGAGCGAATGCCCTTTCTGCAAGGATTTCATTAGAAATGCTGGTACGTTTGAGTGATCTGGGGAAAACAATGCCCATTCCTCAGGTAAGAAATCTCACTGTTGGTATGTTAGAAGTGGTTTCCAGCATAATCAGCTTAGGTCTTGTTCATAGCAGTGCATGCCACTTGCCTTCATACTCTGCCTTATATTTATCTGAGATTGGGTCACTGAGGTTCCGGTGCTGCTCTCAAACCCATTCTGGAGTATCCCAAGGGGTTCCCAGGTCAAAAGGGACATACAGACCCTCGACCAAACTCTGGTTCTGCCCTGCAGCTTCCTCCCAGTAGGACATGTCCAGACAACCTCCAAATGGAGGCAATTCAGAGGTACTCCAATCAAAACAGGAGCAGGGCTCTTCTCCAAATTCAATCATGATACATATCCTGGATCTCTGTGACAGACTGGAGCAGTACCAGTGTGTCTAAGTCTATCTCTTGCTCCATCCAATCATTACTTGTCAACAAGACCTTAACATGGCTGAACTTCTCTCCTTGAGGTAGACTCTGCCCCAACGCGGTAGGAGTGCTCTATCTTCTTCCAGTTGAGAACTAGGCCCTCAGACTTAGTTCAGCTGACTGCCTTTCTGACCGCTTTACACTTGACACCAAACTGGAGGTCAAACTCTTTGACTTCAAGGTGAGCGTCAATATTTCTCAGCACATACAAGATCCTGGCGGTCTCATTAGCTTGGATAGCTACAAACCAACTTTCTGATATCCGGTAGCATCCACTCTTAGCAGCTTGTGCTGAACATCTTTTGTCACTCCTTGAAAACACTCACTGTTTTCAGCTCATCAGAGACCTCATCCAAGGATACCACTAAGTCAACAAAGTCTGCAGGGTTGTTTGAACCAACAAGTCGCACAAAGGTTTTTGCTGATCTCACTCTTGCGATGGTTACCCTTTCATCGCAACTGGGTGGCAACAATCACCTGATCAGATACTATAGACTTCAGCTAACTGTCTATAAAGGTACTGGATGACTTAAGTTCCTTGGCCTTTTCAGACAGGTGTTGCATATCGTTGCTTCAATGCCATTAGGGTGAGCAGCATAAGGTGCCAGTTAGCTTTTCCGCACAGTCTCTCAGTAAAAAACCTTGGTTATATACCTTTGGTGGAAACTGACTTAATGTTCAAATTTGATCTTTGGTCCTGATTCTTTTGATTTTTTTTCTTCACAACTACAGTGATTGAATGGAAAACGTTTCAGTGACAGAACTGATTACACTTACTAGATCTGTGTTATGAGTATGCTGAAGGCACAGAATCCATAAAATTCATTATAATGCAATTTCTAGGACGTTTTCCATGAAAAGTCAGTAAAAGGAGCCTGGAGACCAGGACAGCACTCCGGGAATTGGTGCCTTCTGCTGATTGGCCAATGGAACAGAGGCCGATAAAACATCTTAGAAAGGTCAAAACTATGTACTGAAATGTACTTCTTTCTGGTAGAGCATCTTAAACTCACCATGTGAACAAGCCAACACTGCTAAAAATGCAGGATGGTTGAATTTACTAAATACTTAATCATCTCACAGAAAATAAGCTCATCACACAACTCCTGTGTGAATGTGGAAACACAACAAACTGCATGACAAGACAAAGGAACACTTATAACACTGGCATTCTGATGACATATAGCCGACCCTTCTGCTCCATCACAAAACATTTCGAAACAATGTCCTGACATGTCACTGCACACAGTTCATCTGAACTCCTCACTCTTACGAGGAACTCTGCAATGTTTCTGTTGATCTGCTCATTCTGGATTGTTGGTTGGGAGTTTGAGGGAAGCAGTTTTCTGCAGAAAGCAACCAGTTCTCTGCAGGAGCAGTCGGACGATCTCTCGCAGCTGCAATGCCTCTCGTCAACCACCACGGACTCTACAAGAACAAAGCCGCTGGTCGTTTCTATGACTGAGTTGTTCCTTTTGCAAGAGACGCTGTAGTCCAAAGTGGTGACCATCATGTCTCTGTAGACAAAACGTGCGTATTCAGTAACGGGTCGTGTATCTTTGCTCTGCAATGCAGCAAGTTCTCTCACAGTTAGAGATCTCTGAGAGCCGCATCCCAAAGTAAACACGTCTTCACTGATGCAGCTGGATGACTTGGTAAGGATACCACAGCTTGTCATGGAAGAAAACAGGTCTGTGATTTCTGTACCAGCATCTTTCAGAACATCGCTTCCTTTCATGATAATCTCATCATAGGAAACTATCTGTTTGAAGATGTTGGATGGCGCAGACTGAGCCCTGGCGTACATCTGCAGGAGTCGGCTGTGTACACCCTGAAAGACGAAGGCGGAGTTGGCCCACAGTAGTCCCCAGTTACGGGCACAGTCCGTGAGATGCATCAGCAAGTGGCAGTTAAATGAGCAATGCTCAAGTCCGTACAGAGACGGCACCTGGGAGACGAACTTAACCAGGCACAGCTCTGCACAGCTGATCTCCTCCTGGGTGGCAAACTGGGAGAGGAGGATGTGAAGCGATGAAATGAGAAGCATCCAGTGTTTGTAGTACAGGTTTGGTAAAACCTTCCTCAGTATTACAGGAGAGTAGAGAAGAGCAAACGCTCGCCACTCGGATGCTTCCCAATGCATCCTCTCACTGAGGCGCCGAGGTCTTTGTCTGATCTCATCTGGGGGTTGGATGGCAGACAAAGCTTTGTCCAGGTTCTTCAAACTCTGAGGTGAAAGGTGGAAGCGCTTTCTGCCATAAAGAGGATCCAACCAAAGATTGACAAACTCAGGAACAACCCCAAGACAAACACAGTGCATGTAATCTGGGATAAAACCCTTGACGACGTCAAACGAAGGCAGCAGAAGCAGCGGACTGTGACCTTTGACACCCATTTGACCTTGTGGATACCCATTCTCGATCACTACGATGGCCAGCTGCTCCGTCTCAGCCATGTGCCGCAGGTCACATCCGTCCACCTGAACCGGATAGACTCTGGTGTAACCCCGGCCCTTCTGAACCAGCTCTCCCTTGTGGTAGCAGAACCCGCAGCCAAACTCCGAACTGAACGGCTGAAAGTTCTGCACCGCTGACCTCACCACTGAATCGCACACGCAGATTTTCGCCAACACGCTGGTGTTAAGCTCTAACCCGCTCTCGTCTTCCCAAGTGAAGCCCTCGTGAGAGAGTTTATGAAGCTCGTTAATGAACGGCGTAAAGAAACACTGAAGCAGCGGCTTTCCTTTGCCGAACCACAACGTGTGCAGCAGGACATTCTTACACCGCTCCACATACGGAAGTTCGTTGATGGTGCACAGGATGGGCCAGACTGAAAACTTGGATGAATTGAGGAGAGGAGAGCTGTCACATGTGAAGGTAAGTGTAATACTGCCCTCCTGCTCTTTGTGCTTATATTCACCGCCGGTGTTGACGTCAGAAACGTAATCGTCCTTCGTAAAATGCTTCCCCAGCTTTGAGTGAAGGCGTTTGAGGACCTTCCTCAGTTGGTTTTCTAGAGGCAACACCAGGAAGTAGTTTGCCTTTTCAAGCAGACTCTTTTTGCTCAAGCGCTGCTGACACACTCCGCACTCGGTCCCAGGCTCTACACCCAGGTAGTTTTCACACCTGGGACAGTACAAGTGGATCTCTGTCTTCTTGTCAATGTCAGTCAAATGTTTCTTTATGAACTGCAGAGAGCTGGGAATGCATCCAGGCACCATGAGGTTGAGGAGGGCCAGGAGGTCTTTGGTGGCTGCTTTTGACAAGTCGTGCTTCAGGATGAAGGCCAGGAGGAGGAGGAGGAGCGCTCTCACACTGACTGAAGAACCGGCGTAAATCTTCTTCTCATCGTCAAAGTTTGGGTCAAAAATCTGCTCCTGAAATGTTATGGGGAGAAAATTAGAAGGTAAACGGGATGATGTCAAATGAAAATGGATGTAGGAGAAACAAACCATGGGATCGTCTTCTGGTGTGTCGTCACATGAAGCTGAAGTTTTACGCTGTAAAATAGAAAAGTCAGAGACATAAACAGGCAGTAGTTCTAAATGGAACGAGAAATCATTATATAAAGACCTGATAAGAAAGTGTAACACGAAACACTCCAGTTTGGTCAGTATTCAGGCAGATGTCACTACAATTTCTCTTTCTCTGAGTTGCCTAACTATTTTATGATTGTGTAGGTCTCACATTTCTCCACATAATCAGTCAATTTTAGACTTAAAAGGATTTAACTGCCGTATGATAATGTAGCTTATGTGGTTGGAAAAGAGTGAAATACTTTCCTTCATTTAGCTCAGACACAAAGAAAAGAAACAAAGCTTCCAGATATTATCAATAAAATAAAGCATTTTCTTACCTGATTAAACTAGCAGTTGCATGTGTGTCTGTTCTCTCCCAGCACAAGCTACGTGTCCTAGCAGTGACCTCATCTTTCATTCCCTCAAATATAAAATTCAATTTGGTTTTTTATTCTTGGGCAAAAAGTGAATCAAACTGATGAAAAATGACGAGACTCATCCTCCCTACCTGTGATTCCTTCCTCAGACCTCAGTCTGACTATCGGGATACAGATAAAATCAGACAGAAAACATCTACCTCGTCTAATTGTTGCTAAAAGTCACTCAACAACAACGTCACGTAGAATCTGTGGCGTGTTTTTGTTTTGAAGATCATTTTTATTCCCTGATATGAATGGTGCACTGTAAAAACACAAAACCTTACTGAAGTATTTTTGGTCTAGTTTCTAGTGCCAATATCTAAGTACACTTGAAATTATACAAAACAGTGATTCTTGAGAATAGGGACAAAATGGGTTTTAATTTTCCCATATTTTTTTTATTATTTCTCAA